TGTGAATTCTTTATTAAGTCCTTAAAAAAGGTAGGTTATTCAGGGTTAAGGTATTATGAGTAGCGACATGTCCGTCACTAGTGCTGTTACTGCTTCTGCTACCAGGACTCCTGCTGTTGCCAGAGCATCAACTGACACAGGGTATTCCGCAAAGTAGCTTCTTTCTTAAGACCCTCAAAAGGCAACTTAATTACCACAATCTCCTCTCAGGATTCTGAAAGAAACCTGACCGCACCGCGTGACGCACCTACGAAACCCCCCTCTTCTTCCCGCAGAAACCCTAAACCCTAAACCCTAAACCCTAAACCCTAAACCCTAAACCCTGAGCCTCTAGACCCCAAGCCCCACAACCTCAATTTCAGGAAAAAGCAGGTGGGGAGTTGAGGGTATATAGGGCTTCTATAAGGTACATAGACCTTCTATAAGGCTCCTATAACGGTAACTCCCCACCTGAACATGTCCTATAGACTCAACTCACGGCTGGAACCCTTTACAGGAAGCCTCGGAGGCATCCTCTGCGCAAGCTTTCCCAACCCTAAACCCTAGACCCTAAACCCTAAACCCTAAACCCTAAACCCCTAAACCCTAAACCCTAAACCCTAAGGGTTCCCATCGGAAGCCTTCGCTGTAGCAACGGCGCAGCCCATGGCACAGCAGTTGGCTCGAGTCGAGAAAGCTGCCCAAGTGGGCGAAAGGTCGCCAGCAGTAACTACTACGACTGCTGCTACAGTACTATGACTCCACAACTATCACGGACGACTAATGCAATGCTAGCATACAGCTTCTCTCGTTTGCAAGTGGCAAATGGCTCGGCAGTGCCAAGACATGGGCATTATCTTGGGGTTCTAGGGTTCAGGTAGGGCTTCCCTAAACCCTAAACCCTAAACCCTAAACCCTAAACCCATAAAGGTTCCTGAACTAACTGCAACTTCTCGACTGAAGACCCTAAGAAATTTCGGGAAGGCACGGTGGCCGGGGCGCCCCCCCCCCCCGACCGTCAATGGAAGCATGTAGATGCTCAGATGTAGTGTTCGAAGTGTGGTTCGGAAGTCGGGGCTGACAGATGGGGTGTAGACTGCTTTAGGGGATGTAGAGATAAGGTTTGGGGAATGGGATTTTTAGAATTCGGAGAAATGAAAGGTTTCGGGTCGTACAGCTTCTAGCTGGCTACGAGCTGGTACCAGGCCAGAAAGTATCAACTTCCAACAAGCGACGCCTCGAATTCAGCTATTGATGTGACTCTGTGACACGAGGTTTCAGGGCAAGCTGACGATTTCTGGGTAAATTTTCAATGGTTTCGCAGAAGATGTAGGGCTGTACGAAGGGATGAGAGGCCGTGCACCCGAGTAAATCTTGCACCGCCCTCCCCCCACGATGGTGTCTTCTACTAGTGGCCCAAGTAAGCAGGTTCCGATTAAGCATGCAGCCTGTACTCTATACACAAAAATCATGTTCCAGTTGCAAATGCCCGGTGTTCACCCCTCAAGGCTGTGGAAAAAACTATCAATGCTAATTAACTGCGAAACTTCAAGCCCTTAACAGAACCCTTCTAGAACCCCGGGCCGCCATCAAGCAGACGGACCTTAAACAACTAAGAGAACCCCTGTAGAACCGCAAGCCACCACTGTGCGGACGGACTTTAAAACGCACTGCATCTCCCCTGCAATGGTCCCCAATCGATGGCAGGAAACTCAAAGAGCTTTGGGCAGGCCTGGGTTTAGGGTTTAGGGCTTAGGGTTTAGGGTCCGCAAGCTCAGGATGGAGGGCAATATAGGCGTAATTATACTAATACTAACAATCACACCAATGATAATGATCATAAAGACCATGATGACTATAATGGTAGTAATGATAAGAATAATGAACTGACGGGTTGGGGGTATGTTATGGTATAAGTACAATAAGAAGCACTGGGGAATAGCGCCGGTAAGTATTCAGGCGTCTACATTCGTCTAGGTGTTTTAGGCTGGTGCGGGACTTAAGCTTTGGTGCTTACAGCTTATGGTTTAGGCTTCAGTTCAAAGTCGATGGTTTAGGGTGTGATTAAAGGATCAGCGGACGTATTGAGCAGGTCATTAGCTGGTTCTATCTAGGGAAAGCTTCAACGAGGCGCTGCCTAGTAACTACTGATAACCCTAGTCAGAACCCACTGACTGAGTCCTCTGTTGCTTTACCCAAAGGGTCCAAGTTATAGTATGGTATATACTTTGGGGGCCCAAATACCTACAAAGTAGCTACCATATTAGTACTTGGACCCTTTGGGTTAATATAAGCCGACCTCTACACCCTGGAACCCAAGCTGGCTGTTACTCGGCTTGGTCATGTAGGGTTACTTGCTACAGGGAATGCTACATTACAAGGGCTCTGCATGGGTTTGCGAACGTTGCCGCCCCTTGCGCAGGTCTTAGAGAGCTCACACCGCGTTAAGCTGACTTCCAGAAACACCTTTGCCAGACGACAGAGACGACGACTACTGGATAGCCACAGAGACAATACTGATGGTAGTTGTGATACTCAGAGCGATCAATCTCGATGGTGATTCTGACGACGATGGGGCGACGATCCTTGTCGGTACGACAACCGATGTAGGTCGTTCTTCGGCCACTTAGGGGCTAGGGTCAAGGACTAACTGGAGGGCCTGCCCAACACTTGTGAGTCGAATCCTCCATCTTAGAATGACTCGAAACGAGGGGAGCAGGATGGTAGGACACTTCTCCTTCCACCACTCGTTTTGAGAAACCCCTCTCCCGTCAAAAAACACGTTCACAGACCTATGCAAACACTCCACCGGATCCGTGGTAGCTTCTCGCTGCTGTATATATTCGGAAATCATCATCATGGTCATCATCACTATCAGCAGCAACAGTATCATGAACATTACGATCATCATGATCATCATGATCATGATGATGATCAGCACCATCGTCGTCGTCGTCGTCGTCATAATTTACAGAATATAGACATCTTACATGATGGCCGTTTACGAACCCTTCAAAGTTGCTCTTCGCAGCTGAAGTCGTCGTCATCATTGCGGTAGCAGCAGCAGAAGCAGCTATTGCAGCTGTTGCTGCCACTGCCGTCGTGGTAGCGATGACGAGCGAAATATTGGCAGTCCAATCTTACAGTAAGTAAACCACGGATTCAGGCTCCCAGTCAACCCGGGTGGCGGAGTCCTGCGCTTCTACCCGATGGGTGCAGAAAATGAATTTGCATCCGTATGTTGCGCCATGGGCTTGCCGCTGCTGGTTCCCAACCCTTGAAGCGATAAACAGCAGAGCCTGGTAATCTTTAAAAACAGGGACTGCAAAGGGATGCTATATTCGGATCCCTCTTTTGTGCCGCTCGTCTTCTCACCTCCAAATCGCTCTGTTGGAACCCTGCTGTTGCAGCACCTGAGCGGCGAAGCATTGGGGGCCGTGCTGACATTGATCTCGGGTCTCTTGGGCGGTTGAGGGCTTATATGGTTTGGAGTTCAGGGTTTAGGGTTCAGCTGGTTTCAGGGTTTAGGGTGTAGGGCCGCTTAGGGTTTCCACTCAGGCTCCCTCGCAGTGACGACGAAGACGGGTTAGTGTTTGAGCCAACCCTAAACCCTATACCCTAAAACCTAAACCCTAAACCATAGTCGGCAAGCAACGAGCTTTTCAGGGAGCCTTACGAAAGCACTCTGGGTCGAAGCTTTCTGCACCTGAAAACACGAAGAGTTACACGTAAACCAGCACCCCTGGCTGGAAATGAAATCCCTCAAACACTTTCCTCTACTGTAGCCGCTAGTGTAGAGACGGTGTACCACATTTACTTGTGGTTCTTTTTTCTAAATTCTCGCGCGCCGTCTGGACGACCCTCGAGCCTGTGCGAAGGAATCGGAAGACTCTAATTACCCTCCTGCTAACCCCCGACGATCTCTGAGTTCAGGGGTTGCTTAGCCCGGAAAGGTGCTTCACCTATACATCCGAAAACCCCACATAAGCCTCGAGCGTCAAACCTTGAACCCCTCACCGTTTCCGGCCCTAAACATCCCCTTCGAACTCTGAACCCTAAGCCCTGAAACCCTCAAACCCGCTCCATTTCCGAAACCACACTCGTCTGCTGAATGCGAAGCGCCGCTCTTGGAGCTTCTAGGATGTAGGATTTAGGGTTGAGGATTTAGGGGTTTAGGATTTAGGATTTAGGATTCAGGGTTTAGGATTTAGGGTTCAGGATGCAGGATCGAGTTTCCGAATGCCACTTGGGTGCAGTCTCCAGTGCAGGTTTGAAATCAGGATTTAGCGTTCAGTGTAGGGTTGAGGGTCTAGGGTTTAGATTATATGGAAAACTGCTTACATCTCTTTTTTAAGGGCGGTTATGATGAGGAGCGAACAATTCTTGCTCGTCGGACATATCACACATAGTCAATGCAGCATGGCGCTGCTATCCTTGGCCAGCCAACGCTCAATTGTAAACCAGGAACTAACCAAATCCTAGCTCAGAAAGAATAATATAGGGGCGTTAACTATTAGAATAGGGTTTGGGGCCCATTATACGATAGACTATACTTATTAAAAGGAACCCCCAAAACAATATTGGCAATATTTAGGCCCCTATGTTAGTCAGCAACCTCTTCATCCGGACCTCCTCCACGGTGCTCCGCCATGTCAAACGCAGTGGCTTCCTTGCAGAGGGCACTGATGCTTCAGGCCTGTTTGGGGTTTAGGGCGTAAGATTTAAGATAAAAGTTTAGAGTTTGGGACTCAACTCGTTCATTCACACTGGTTTGAGGCGGGGATGATGTAGTCAGTGCTGCGAATTCTGGCGGTTCCGACCTGTCGTACTACATGCCACTAAGCACATCATGGAATTCACCTTTACAGCTCCAAACCCACACATGCACTAGATTTGCCACCACGCCATCGCGACCCTCGATGTCCTAATTCGGCCCCACACTCCAATGAAGTCAACGAAATTTCTTAAAGAAAGAAGCAGAATCTAACAACACCAAGAGGCGGCAGCAATGTGGCGAACTCGCGCACGAGGCGCTCACGGATACCCTCCTCGTGTAGGAACTGAGAGTTTCAGCAAGCAAGCGACCCAAGTGTAGAACCGCAGTGATAGGACCCATACATGATCAGATCATGAGGTATCCCGACTACATGCGTCTAATTCCTTGCCGGCTTGATTGCCTACGTTAACTAGCGTGAGGCCGAGTCTGTCGGCATGCAAAGCTCTTACTTTAAAGGTACTGAACAGATAAACAAACATCTTATCGTTCTTGGGGAAAAACAGAACATGATGATTGACGAGTGGTTTTGAAAGAAAGGTAGGAATCCATGCATGCCTTCCACGCATTCTCATCCACATCCGTCGGAAACGAACATCCAAGTTGTTCGACGTGCCGGTGCTCAAGAAAGATCTGAGTTTTGACCTCTGTAGGGGTCTCCTCATCAAAACCATCATCATCAACGTCATCATCACCATCATCGTCGTCATC